AGTTAGCGGTATTGTTTGTCTTTTGGCAAACAGTTTCTAAAAATTAAATAAAATTAAAAAAAAAATAATCTCCTTTTTAAAACAATAAACTATAAAAATGATAAAATTAAATTAAAAACGCAAAAAAATCAAATATAATAAATCTCTAAAATTAAACAAGAAAAAAGTAATAAATAACTCGGATCTCTCAAATGTGCAAAAATTATCAAAAACCTGCAAAATTTCAGCGTAATTTTCAATTTTTTGCTCAGATGTTTTAGAATTATTTGAGTAAGGAGTTTAAATTCCAGGGTAATAATGTGCAAGCTTTAAATTGCTAAAGAATTGCGTTGATTTTTAATAATTTTTTTTTTTCTGACTGCATTTATTTTCGTGATTTTGTTATACATTTTAGTATAAAAATTTCGGCCCCTCGGCAACACTGAAGTTTAGGAGATCGTTTGCGCACCAAATTTACCTCGTAAATTTACGAGGAGCTCGTAAATAGAGCTCCATACAAATTTTGACAGTTCTTTTACGAGGCTCGTAAATTTACGAGCTTTACGAGGCTTTTACGAGTTTAAGGAAAGACCCGTATTGTATTTTTGTATTTTAAATGACGAAACCAAAGTGAATACTATGCTGGAGTTGGTTCAATCGAATCCTTATTCTTGCGTTGACGGCATTGTAGCTAATGATGTGAATAAAAAAATCGGATTTTTCGTTTTGCTTTACACATAAAAATCGTATTCCTTTCTTTAGAATGTATTATCCTGCAAAATGAGACAAAATAAAGACATACGAACGAATTCCGATCTAACTAATTACATTTTGGTTACAATTAGAAGTTCAGATCATCTTTACCAGAGATCCAACAGGGATTTTTTTTTGAATTTTTTTGCTAGTTTTGGTCTGATTCTCCAAAAGTTCACACAAGTGTTTGGCATCGAATTTACTCAATTTCAAGCACTTAATTGATTCTTGTACTCAATTATGATTCCAGCTTTTCACATATGTACATTAATAAGTACTCGACTTTTTTAAGAGTAACCATGTCTTAAACATCCGTAATAGCAAAAGTGACCTAAGCCCTTAATTTTTGTTTGTACCTCTCTACTTCAAAATAGTTTCAAACGAGGTAAATTATAAAATAAAAATCTCTTATTTCTGCTATGTAGCTTAAAATTAAGGAATAAGCGACTTTATTTTAAAATTGAACATTTGAAACTATTTAAAGTAGTAGCTGAAGTACAAAATATAAAGTTTGGGTTAGGTGACTTCTGTTTTCACGGCTTCATATAGAATTCGCACATTTATTTAAGCCAAATGCAAATCAAATTAACAAAACGCAAATAAAATTAACAAAACGCAAATAAAATTAACCGAACGCATTCTTCCTCGAAATATAAGATGAATGTTCGGTGTTGGGCAAATTCGAAAAGCAGTTCTGCCAAATTTTATTTATTTTTCTTGTACTAATTGAAAAGTTTTAAGAAGGGAAAAGATCCGCAAAACGAAATAAAAATCAGCAAAATTTATAAAGGTGCATGTAGAATTTGTAAATTTTTCAAATACCGATCATTCGGTTCCGGTTCGGCGTTCCGGTTTATTTAATTTGCGTTTAGATTAATTTAAATTGCGTTTAGGTTTCACTGATTTGCTTTTTGATTTAGTTTGAATTGCGCTTGAGTTAAATATAGTACATAAATGTATGGTTGTATGTATTTTTACAACGCTTTTATTTCAGGTTATGTTTTTGCCTTATTTAGAAATCCAGTACAAATGTCTTTGAAACATCCGTTACAAGCAAGATAGGGGAAAACTTTCTTCTGTGACTTTTACTTGGTAAATTTTGTTATAGCGATAACTTAAAGGAAGTGAAAAAATTTTAAAATAACATGTTGCAAAACTATACCCAAAAATGAAATCCCAATAAAATTATACTTAAATAAAATGTCTTCACTAATCGGGTTGGGATGTATGTAGGTGCGTACTCTGACCAAACTAATTAGTCGGGTTGGCCTCACTGCCTTATTATGTATTACGAACGATTCGTCTGCAGACGATAACGTCTGTGATTACGAGTTTATTACTCTATCGGTCGTTTTCGTCTAACTTCGCATCAATTACGTTGCAATCGTCTCGGTTGCGTTTAAACCGGCTAGAATGATGCCGCCGGGCTAATTTTTGAAGCATTCCTCTGCAAACGAATCGTTCGTGTTGCCTATCGTTCGTGATACATAATAAGGCTGTAAATCGGTGGCAATTGCTACAATATCGACGTCAGGGCTGCCAACTTCTTAGGTAGGCCTATAATTAAAAGCACCTGAGCTTCGGCCACAAGCACGAGCAACTATAAAATACAAATTTTCAGGGACAAATACCATATTATTGCACATTTATTTACATAAGTATTTTTTTTAATGCTCTTTTTATAGCACATTCTTTGAAATGTTATGCTAAGATGGCAGCGCTTATCGATGAGTTGGTGGCTGATAAAGTCTGCAGTGTACGCACGTAGAAGAAGAGCGCCTTGCTGATCAAGCAGTCGGCCGATAGTTGGCAGACTTTCTATTTTGAATGCAATCGGCCTGCACTGCAAACTATTTAGTCGGACACGATTAAGTTGGTGAAGTGTGCGCACATCCATGCAAGATGCATGTATTTTAAGAGAGCCCGACTAAATCGTCGGCCGATAAAGTCTGCAGTGTGCGGGGGCTCTAAAGCATCATACACGTTTTCAAATAAACGATTATCAGCATGAACTGTCCGTCCTTGCTAATACTCCCCACACATCCCAGAAGATAATTTAGGTAGGCCTTTTTAAGAGTGAAGCCATTCTAAAGGACCTACCCAAGAAGGTATAAAGAAAGTGCTTCCCTGCATGGATTCTAGAAGGGCTTTTTCTAATTACGATTTACGCGAAAGTATAAGCTTATGCTATTTAGCATTACAAATTAATTTAAAAATGCATTTTAGATTGCAATAAAACATATTTGATATGAACCTTAAAGAAAGAGAAAGCAAAGCAGTGGGAGGCCTCTTGAATCTCAAGAAGACCAAAGTTCTGCCGGGAAAAATGTGTCATTCTTTCCATAAATCATTCTAGTATGCAATCAATATCTTTTCGCCTGAAAAAGATTACCCAGCAAACACAGTCTCTAACATTAGATAAACCTTTTTGTTTTACATTAGAATTCTAATGTAGTACTCTAATGTTTTCCGCAGGTTAGAGAACTATGTTAAAATTCGATTGAGAGAATGATTAGAAAACCACTAGACATTAGAAACCGATTAGAATTCAACGTTAGAATGCGATTTGATATCTAACCTTTTTCTCGATATCGAGAACTAAGTCGCCTTTTTGTAGAGAATGCTATAATTCTCGACAGTTTATCTAATCGTCTTCTAACCTTCTCCCACAGAGAAACATTCGAATTCTAATCGGTTTCTAATCGTTCCCTAACCTAAATGTTTGTTGGGTAATTTCTTGCAAATTATGTTGCAAACTAACAATATTTGGACGATTGTGCTCTCCTAACTTCCACCAAATGGAGAATATGTGGGGAATACAAGCAAGGACAGTTTAAATTGGTGATTATGCAAGTGTGCCATAAACTGTATGCTGCTTTAGTGTTTATTTAAGTATGAGTGAGCCCATATTTCAATCACTTAAAGTCAAAGAAGCACAAATAGAGTATTAGAAAGACATATTTGCATGTTTTTTCTAATTTCATTGGGATTTAATTTTTGGATTTATGTATATGTAGTTTTGCAACAAGTTATTTTTAAATTTTTTCACTTCCTTTAAATTAAGTTATGATTAAAAAAAAATATACTCTATTTCAAGAGAGCCATTAACATCAAAAATCACAGAAGTAGGTTTTCCCCCATCTTGCTTGTGACAGTTGTTTCAAAGACATTTTTACTGGATTTATAATTATGCAACTGAGTGTATACTATTTGCGCAAAAGGTTTAAATTAGGCACTTTGGTATTGAAGTAACTATGTATGTATAGTGCAATATATCTCGAATCCGCTATGCCGTTATTTGAACAAAGTCATTATAAGCTAGTGTACTACCGCATACCACGTAGTAATGTTTAGAGAAAACAAACAAAATTGCCCCGCCGCCTTGACCCTTTCGATTTGATTTGTAAATAAATTCAAGCAGTTGTGTTGATGAAATTCAAACTTTTATTCTATACCTTTTAATAGGGTATGTTGTTGTAAGCATATAGTAGTAGTATGTATGAAGATTATGTCTATAAATCCAATAGTTATCGGCGAGCTGGTCAACTGTTGCATCATACATAAGAATTGCGGCATCAGCAACTTCTCTATATTACTCGGTGGTCACATGTCACATGTTGGACTGTTTTTAAACAGTAACAGACCTGCACCGGCACATAGAACAAAGTCGGTAACTATTGCAGCTAATTCATTGTATTTTGACAACAGCGACCGACACACATTACATATAGTAAAAAATCAAAAGTTGTTTAACTAGCAATTAAGAGTTCGAAAACACCTGTAACTCGTAAGTGTAAATATGTTTTGTTGTTTTGTTATAATTTTTACTCGTCGATTTAAGTTTAAAAATCTCAACTGTTTTAGCGACAACTTAAGTCTAATGCAAACAACTATCATCAACTGGTATGGTATGTAGTAGATTATGTGCTCTAATTGCGGTTTCCAGACTTGGGATTCCTCTGTCTTTTATTAAAATTAGGCTTCTTATTACCACCACTAAATAATGTATTTCATATAGTGGATCAATATTGATTGGTATAATGGAGCGACGAGTTGCAGATTGTTCACACATTTTCGTTTTGTATACGTTTATATAATGCGGGTTTTCAAGGGGCAATGAAAAGAGAAGGAATGGAATAGAAATTCCAGTATTAACAGTTTTATCAATGTGATTATACACTATTTTGCTAACTTGATAGTTGTGTATTTATTTAACACTTTACACTTAGATTTGTGAGACCGAAGAGACGGTTGCTTGCTTTCGTAGTCAACGATTTACAGAGGGCAAAGAATGGGTTGGCATGTTCTCGCACTCATAGGCATTGTAATTAGAGTAATTATATTTGTGGTGATTGCGAATATTTTTTTTTACTTTTGCGATACATTCGCCATGCATTTTCAACGCAGATAGTACCGGTGCTACACACCACAAAATTGCATACAATAACCTCCTGGATTGACTTTAAACATTATAATTCATATATTATTACAATTAATAAAAGCACATTTAATATAGTTACTTAATTACAATGCCCACATTCTGTTCGTACCTCATTTCATATTTACAATTACATGTAGGTTTTATGCTTTATGAATCCACTATAACTATTAGTGTTTTGGTTAGAAGAAAAAGCAATTGGGTATTTTAACTCTAATACAAAAGCTTGTTTTTATTTCTACCTTTCGTTTTGATTCTTCACTTTTCCGAATGTTGAATTTAACAACATTTCAAAAAAGTTGGATTCTTGTTCTACATTTCTCAGAAACGTTTTATTTTGTGGGTACTCGTTTGTATTCTATTTCGCCTAGTTTACATTTTAGAAACATTTTTAAAATAATGGCGGGCTGATGGATGCGCTATTGAAACAAATTTTTAATTTTTTAGTGGGAATTAATAAGGCTCGTTCATCTCTTAACCGCAGATATAGCAAATAACAGTTATCACTTTCTTAATTTCAACACTTCTTCAATACACCGCGCGACAAAAGCCAACAAATTTCAAAACTCACGAAAAAGTCAATATACTGCCGTAACTAGGGGTCAAATATAGCAAAAACTGCACTTTTAGTTTTCTGTCTGACGTCAGGATTTTATATAGAGGAGTTTAATATTTCAAAGTTTATTCAAAAAAATTATTTTAAAAACTCCGTGCAATTTAGAATAACGTGCGTATAAAATAAAACAGAAATTTGTCTAGAATTGACAAAATTTTAATTTTTTGGCTCACAACGAGGTGTAGTTTATGTACTTTTAAATAATTTTTTTTATCGTAAATTGGCAAAATTCGAAATACGAAGTTCGGGGATGTATGCAATTGTACATACGGTGGCGAGAATCTAAATAGGGAAAAGACATTTTAGCTATAATGGGCTACTTTTCTTTGTTTAAAAAATGTTTAGTATTTTTTTATATAATATAAATACACGTAGCTTACTATCTAAAAAACATGTAGATCAAAATTTAAAACTTTGTAGAACACCCATAAGAATTCAACGAGTTTTGAAAAATGTTGATCAAAACTTTCAACTTTTTAATTATGCAGTATTGTAGGCCATTAAATTTTAGTATAAGTTACAAGATTGAAGTAGCTAAGACTTGCCGTTGATTTTTTGCAATTTTTTTGCTCGCGCATTTCTTCCATGCAAAGTATGGCTGACTTCCAAAACGTCATTTGCATTGCATACGTACAAAGTTTAATGTTCCATAACGCCAAACTACAATTGTTTGGCAATGTATACTTTGCCGAAGCGCATCCGAAAAGTTATCGAAACGTATCGCCAGAGTAATCAGCGCATCAAAAACGAAGTTGATGCTCCGTTTGGTTTTAGTTACCATTTGGATTTTAAAAATGGAAAATACCGAAATGGTGATCATTGTTTTACTAAATATTCAAAATATGCAATGTATATGTAGAACAGTATCCAAACATTGTATTGGTACGTTTTGGAGGTCAGCCTATGTTCGACAATGTTTTTTGTATGGAGAAAATGAGCAACATCTTCCACAAAAAAAAAGAATTGCCAATAATCAACGGTAAGTCCTAGCTGCTTAAAATGTGTACAAATGTACATGAATAGTCAGAATGCTTCTAAGAAAACTAATTAAAAATCTCAAAATGTTGATTAATCTTTGTCGAATTTGTCTAATTTTTGTACAGAGCTCGAAATATTGACTTACATGGTTTTTTTGAGATAACAATCTACACTCTCATAAAAGTTAATAAACATTAAATATCACTGTGCGACAGCCGAAATTAGTCCGGACTTTGTCAACATATTCTGAAAGAAAGAAAAGTTAGCTCGTATTTATATTTTATGGCCTACTAAAGTTTTCATGTCCCGGCTTAAGTACTTTTCAAAAAAGAGGAAAAAATTGATAAAATAAATGTCTGAGCGAAATTGAAAGTTAAGACATACATACATATACGGTTGAAAATTTCTCAACTGGACCTCGGATTTCAGTCAAGTTCGAAGTTTTGCGTGGAAATTTATGGGTAGAGAGGGTTATAGATGTGAAAGGGATTCTGAGAATTTGAAAAATTTTAATTTGTAAAGTTTTTATAAGCAAATATATTTTTAAGCAATCTTTTTTTCAAAACTCATTTTCTCTTAAAGTATTTGACGAAAGTTGAAGAAATTTTTTTTTGTAAGCGTAGTGACATTAGAGCTTTAAAAAAATATATATTTTTATAATTTAGAAAAAAAAAATTTAATTCAAACATGATAAATATTCAAGTTGCATTAAAAATATGTTCTCAATGAGTTTTTCCCATTTAGTTTGTATTTTCGAAAACTGCATTTACTGAGGAAAATATTTGTAAAAATAAAAATTGTTAGATCTTTTCTGTGCGCGCTGTGACATACATATGTTGCTGTAAGTCAAAAACAGAAAAGATCTAACAAATTTTAATTTACAAATATTTTCTTCAATAAATGCAGTTTTAAAAAATATAAACGAAATGGAAAAACTCATTGAGAACATATTTTTAATGCAACTTGAATATTTATAATGTTTGAATTAAAAAAAAAAAATATATAAAATTCTGAATTATAAAAATTTTTTTTTTCAAAGCTCTAATGTCATTACGCTTACAAAAAATTTCATCAACTTTCGTCAAATACTGTAAGAGAAAATAAGTTTTGAAAAAAGATTGCTTAAAAGTATACATATTTGCTTATAAAAACTTCAAAAATTTAAATTATTCAAAAAAAAATCTCAGAATCCATTTCACATCTATAAACCTCTCTGCCCACAAATGTTCACGAAAAAATTCGAACTTGACTGAAAACGAGGTCCAGTTGAGAAATTTTCACCCATATAGTAAAATTTCACGGAAAATATTTTCGTAGAACATTTTAACCCATTATTAGAGGATTGATATATTCTAGAAAATTATTCTTCGGAAAATTCTAATAGGGGTCTTTTTTCTCAGGCAAAAACTTCATGCCAAGAAGGAATAACAGCCAAACTACATTTTATTTTTTTTTTTTTGTAAAAAAAAACCTTTTTTTTTTGTAAAAAAAACAATTTTTTTTTTTTTTTAAAAAAGTTTTTTTTGTTGGTTTTTTATTATAATTTTTAGAGACTTTTACGTTGGTGGCATGAAGCTTTTTGCCTGAAAAGACCTCTAGTACAATTTCTCGAAGAATAATTTTCGGGAATATATCAATCTTCAAGACATTTATTTTAACCATTTTTTCCACTTTTTTGAAAAGGCTGGGCCATAAAAACCCTAGTAGGCCTTACAATAAAAATACGAGTTAACTTTTGCAAATCCATCGAGTGTTTTATTACTGAATATGTATACTTTCCAAAAATATTAGCAAACTCCGCTGGTTTGAATTGTCGCAAAGTTTAATCGAAAGGGAAATAGCCAAAGAATGCTAAAATATCGCTTTTATATTTATATTTTCGCCACTGTATTAGTCATTAGCATACATATCGTCGCTCGAATAAAGAAACAGTGTAAATGCCACATACACTATTATTCGATAATTGCACCATTGGATAGACAATCCTTAAACTATTAGAAACTAATTTATTCTCGAAAAACGAAATTGTATTTGTATGGTTTGTTATGCTTTATAAAAACTTCCAATTCGTTTTTCTCAAAACTATACTTTTCATGTTACACTATTTCATTATTCCAGCGACGATATATGTTTTCAAGAATAACTAAATATTTAAAATTTTCAAGGACATTTAAGGATAAAGTTTTAAAATAACATTTTAAATATATTAAATACGTTCCTGTGCACCGAAAAACGTATCTATTTTTTTTTCAATTCTACAGTTTTCTGTTTTATTTGATACTCACTTTTGTAATCTACACGGCAATGATTTTTTTTTATTTATCGTGTATGACTCACGGCAAAAATTTTTGGCACAGGGAATTTCTCACAATATATTCATTTGTTTCCTATAATTTTTTCTTAAATTCATACTACAACAAAAAAAATGAAATAAAAACATACAGGGTATTCATCTAAACGCATAACTGCTTCGTAACTGTAAACTTCGTAAATAAACCGGTTTTCCATGGGGGGTCCATGGGAAAGTGGATCTCAGTGCGAAAATTATTTTCTTTATAAAACTAACAAACGTGTGGATAAGATATATGTAAAAATCTTGAATCAACCAAAAAATAACAAATGATCATGGAGAAATTAACGATGCTCCTCCATTTTTATGTGAGAATTGAAGTCGGTTTTGCTTTTTGCTAAAAATTACTTGTTTGAGTTTCTATTTGGTTTGATTTCATGAACTCTAATGCTGACTACACACGAGGCAACCGTTGAGGCAATCAGGGCATGTTGCTTCGACTGTTGACTTGTCTGTAGCATTGTTGCTTATGAAAATTTTTGTTGCCGCTGCGTATCGCGCAAAGTGAGAAACATTTCCCATTAAGAGCGTAGCATATGCAAGCCACGTGAGTGAACTTTTATGTCTGATTAACTGTTATTTGCGTTCTTTGGAAATCGACAAATTACTGGAGACGCACAGTGGGTTCAAATCTGGCATTTAGTGTTCATAATTCACTGGAGCCTTCATTTTTCAATCAATTTGATTCATTTTTTTTTAATGAAAGCTTATAAAATTTGCAAGAGACCAGTTACCTCATTTTTTAATTTTTAATTGATTACATTCCATTTCTTAGTGCGAAGTGCAGAAAAAGTAGCAATTTTGAGAAAATTGATTCTCCTGTTTCAGTTAATATATGTTATGTAATAAAAACTAGTTGATTCCTCCAAAACGAAAACAAATTTTTGAAATGTTACGAAACAATGGGTTGTATGCATAAAACCTAAGCAAATGGTCTTTCTAAAAATTTCAGATCATTTACTCGATTTGTTCAAATAAATAAATTTTGAACATTTTTTTTGGTTTTTGGAAATATTTGGGTATGCAAATTTATAGATCATTAAATGTTAGTATAATAAAAACAGCAAGTTGCAATCGGCTAAGAGTTCGCTCTGATTTTTAATAATATAACAAAAAAAAATTATAAAAAAAAAAAAATCAACGCAACCTCATAGCCACTTGCCACTTGCAACTTATTATACTAAAATTTAATGATCTACATATAAAACTGCATACCAAACATTTTTCTAAAAGCTCAAAATTTTCTCTGTTTTCATTATGGTAACATTTTTTATAACATTTCAAATTTTTCTTGTGAGTTTTTGTATAGTTTTGGGGGAACCCTACAATTAGTTTTTAATTTGTATAATTTATTAACTAGAACAGGAGAACCGATTGCTGCTTCTTCTTTAAAAAACAAAAATTAATCTAATTGGTTGAAAAACGAAGACTCCAATGAATTATGAACAATCCTTTCCAGTTTTGAATCACTGTGCGACGGGAGTTAACTTGTCGCTATGAAAACGGTAAGATTCTAAACATGGTTTAGAGACATGCAGAGATATGCATAAGGAACCTGCTTCTGGGCATTGCAATAGGTCTATGTATATGTCATCGTGCATACTTACAAGTGAAAAATGTTCTTCTTCTGTCTGGTTAATATCCTGTAAAAATGTACGACTCACGTGTTGATTTTTTTTTTTTTTATATATTAACAACGTTTTTTAGGTTAAAATGGTTTTATTATTTTTTTATAATTTTTTTTTTTATGCTGTTGCCAACAAAACCAAACAAATCAAAGTTTCAAACTTAATACAAAAATTATAAAACTTTAACAAATTTTCATCAAAATATGGAAATTTTATGTCTGAATGTTTAGAAATTTTCCAAATATAAATTAGGACGGGACATTTTAGCAATTATTAACATTTTTTTTAGTTTATTATTGGTTTATTATGAAACGGCAAGTCCTGGTTAATTCAAATTTGCACTTTATTATACTACAAAGTTAGGAACTTTTAGTTTTATGGATCAAAAAACTAGGAAGGTAGAGCCGCTGAGAGGAATTTTTCAAATTCTTGACGTTTGCAAGCAATTTAATTTTAAAATTTTACACACAAACTCACACACACATTCTCATTTTCAATCTCAAACAACAACAACTTTGAACAATTCCTTTTTTTACTCTCAATTTTATATGATTTTAAAATGCTGGCAAACTTCAAAAAAAAAATCATGGCCGATGAATTGAGAGAACGGCTTTACCTTACTATGTTTTTATCATGGAGTTCACACCATATTATTATTAAAAGTTAATAAAATTAAAATAAAAAATATTAAAAAAAAATGGAAAAAAATTACTGTACGATTTTCACTAACACACTTGAAACTTGCATATTTCATGGGCTATAAAACCGCATACCCAAAAATTTTCTATAGATTCAAAATAAAAGTTTCGAAATTTTGATGAAAATTTGAAGATTTTCTAAATTCTGTATAAAGTTTGAAATTTAGACTTACATACATACATATATGATTTTGGTTAAAACATTTTTTAGCCCAGCAAAATTTAGATCAAATTGGTACGAAGAAAAAAAAACTATAGTAGCAATTTTTTGATGCAGTTTACTTCTATTTGGCATGGATCCATAGTCTTGCCCCTAAATTTCATGGCAAAATTCCGCCATGTTGGACTTTAGGCAGAGACTATAACGATTATAAGAAATAAAATTAAACATTGCTGTATAATTATTATTGAACAATGGAAAAGTTGTTTCCGTCTCCCGTCACGAAAATCGTTAGACTAAAAACTTTTTCACCTTCTCCTAATAATTATATGGGACTTTTATTTGGAAATTATTTTCTTCTTCTCATAAGGATTAAGGTCTTAAAATGATAACATACGACGCACCCATTTAGATTTTGCTTTACAAATTTTGAATTTTTCCAACCTGACTTCAGATGAGTAATAAGCGGCCTCAAGAACCCTTGAAAAAATCGTTTCAAGTGGACCGAATCGATTTTAATTTTTCGGCCGCCATATTGGATTCGTCATTATGAATTTTTAAAATCATGCTCTAAGTTCCTGCTGTTACTATTAATTTTTTTAAGTGTTGGGTTCACCGGTTTCACGGTTAGTTTAGACACCAAATTTGAGACGCAACATTGAATTTTGCAAAGGCCACACTGTTTTCAATGTGATCATTTTAAGACCTTAATTTTTGTAATCCGTCCTAAGATACGTATCAAATAGAAGTAAACTGCATCCAAAAATCGCTACTACATTTTTTTTTTTTAGAAAAAGTTGAACTATACTGGGCTATTTTATAATAAAAAATACCAAAAAAACGTTTACGTTAAAAACATTGTTAATACATATTTAAAATAAATCCACAACTAAACACTAGTGTGAACCGCGGTTTAAAGGAAGCACTCATGTTAAACGCGACTAAAGTTATTAAAATAAAATTAAAACCTGCAAAATATGAATCCAATTTAATCAATTCTGGTGTTTATATAACGTTTGAATATTCTAAAGCGCTTTTGTAGTAATTGAAATAAGGTGATCTCAGCTGAGGGGCTTTTCTCGAAAGCTTCCGATTCTTTTTTTCACTTGTAAATATGCACAATGGCCTATGAGGCTTCCGAGTCAACTCTCTTTTAGAGCTGCCCGCATAACCTAGCACCAGTCTACACTTAAGTATAGATTGAAACATAGATTTATTCCTTCAAATCTCTGGGAAATCTAAATGAAAATCAATGAAATCAGCCCGATGTTGCAATAAAAAAGAAATGGGCGTTGCAATCGATAATCCAGAAAGTCAATATCTTACTGTGGTAAGAAGACACCTTTTTTTAATATACTCTGTTGTAAACGGCACAAATTGAGGTGATGAACTTTCAATATAGTTTATAATTAAATGGGTTTCTGCTCTTTTAATTCGTCAACCGATAAAGCTAATGGAATTATGTGTTAAAGGTTTTTTTGATTTAATAAAAACCAATAAATAAAACTTAGCTATCATCCAGAACGGAAATTTTTTGTTGAATTGTACTAGTCTCTCACTAATCTTAATAGTAGTAGTGCTACTATTTGTACGATGTAAAATTAGGTATCTCACAACGAGAAGCGTAAATTTGAAGATATTTTTTTTGCTGAGGTAGATTTGCAGTATCTTTTGCAGACTTTGTTTTTTTTTTTTTTGCCAAAGGATCCCTAAATATGAATTGATTTTATTTTTTTATTTTTGGAAGTGTTTACTATGCTACGCTAAAAGATAAATCAATATTCGGCGGTTACATTTTTGCTAAGCGTTTTGTGAGAGCTTCCCGCGTCCTATTTGTGATGTGCGCCTTAATGTTGTTAAGACAGATGCAGAAACCTACAGTTTTTTGCCATTCAGATATTAAGCCAAATCACTTTAAGCCAATTAGTGAATTTTCAATTAGAAGAAAATAAAGTTTAAGTTTAGATAATGTTTTGATTTTTCTATATTAAATTGGGAACCCTCTAACTGGATGTAATGAAAGGATGAACTAGATATCTTAGAAGGCAACTAAACTGATTGGCTTCAAACGGTTTCCTTAGCAAAAACTAATTTTCAATTTTTCGCAAATTTTAAATGACTGTTTCATTTTCGTATAAATAAATAATGTACTTGAGAAGAAAGAATTTTTTAATGTTGTATATACATAATGGCAAAGCTAACATAATACGCCACAAATGCATACAAGGCATACATCAAAAGTATTATCATCTATCAAACCAGCGTTTTTCATGTGAAGCTAATATTATCTGCCTTTGATAAATTTAACTCATTCGGATCTCACATTTCTTTTATATAATTGTAAATAAAATGAAATAAATAAAACTTGTTAAAGTTCTATACATACCCATCAACCCATGAAGAATTCGAATTGTCCGTTCCTGTAGCATCGTTTCCACCATCTGGGCCTCCTTGTCTTTCATTATCCTCGGGACCACTTCGGAATGAATTCTGCCCTCCGCGATCGCCCATGTTATTATTACCGCCAAAATTACGTCGATCGTCGTTGGGACCCATTCTGCTAAAATTTGCCCCATTACCACCACCACCACCGAAATTCGGACCATTGCCACCTCTAAAGTTCGGACCATCTCCGCGGAAATTCGGGCCGTTCCCTCCTCCGAAATTAGGACCATTTGGCCCAAACCTATTGAAATTGGGTCCATTCGGGCCAAAATTAGGCCCGTTGCCACCAAAATTCGGACCATTGCCACGGAAGTTTGGTGCGTTTCCTCCGAAATTCGGCCGGTTTGGTCCATTATTGGGACCATTGCCTCCGTAATTTTGACGATTTCCTCCAAAATTGGGGCCATTTCCTCCGAAAGGGGGACCGTTTCCCCTGAAGTTGGGACCGTTTCCTCCAAAGTTAGGACCATTTCCTCCAAAGTTAGGACCATTTCCTCCAAAGTTGGGACCATTTCCTCCCATGTTACGGTTATTCCCTCCAAAGTTGGGCCCATTACCTCCAAAGTTTGGCCCATTACCTCTGAAGTTAGGTCCATTGCCTCCGAAGTTTGGATCATTACCTCCAAAAGTAGGATCATTACCCCCGCTGTTAGGTCCATTTCCACCATCTGGCTTATCCATTTCAGATTTTTGTTTTTGTAATTGCTGAAGTAACATAGGTAATTGTTGAAGAAACTGTGGTGGTGGCGCACAACTTGGATCAGCACTCTCTCTGCCCTGAGCTTTAGCCAGGGCCATCGAAATTTTCTGCATGAATACGGGATCTCTAAGTGCATCATTTAAATTAGGAATGGCATTGGAAATATTCGGATGTATTAGTTGCTCTTCTTGCGGTTTGTCCGCCTCTAGCCTGTTATCAGAGCGTTCATCTTCATTATCATTTTCACCTTCACACTCGCCTTCGATTTCGTCTTCGGCATTGCCACCACTGATGGGTGTTTGTATGGCGAAATCTGCTGGTTTTTGTACAACAACATCAAACAGGGATGGTATTTTGCCAACAGGCTTTTGTGGCTCTTGCTGTTTTGGTTCAAAAGTTTCAACCAATTCCTTTTCAGCACTTTCATTACCCTTAATCATGTATGATTTATCTTCATACATTGTGTCGGTTGCGCCACTACCTCCCACCAAATCTAGACCTGGAATACCCTCACTTTTGCCAAAAATATTACACATGGGACCAGAAACGTCACCGGCCTTGACGTCATCTTCATCCACAAGGGATATCACTTCAGTGACAGTCGGGTCGTCTAATTTTGATATTTTTACACTTTCCGTAGGAGCGCTAAAACGACTCTTTCGCTTGCCTGAGGTACCAACAATATTCGCTTTTTTCTCAAATTTTGAGATGCTTTCCTTGCTTGTTTTTGGACAATCACCTTTTGTTTGTTCTTTTACCAATTCATCCTTATCCTCTTTTTCTTTTTGAACTACTTCGTCTTTGTTAACGGTGCTTTCTTCAGTTATGTTAGTGTTTTCGCCCGCGAAAGGCTGATTTGTACCGTCATCTTCTTCAACGGGTGCACCATGCAAATCTTCAGAGTCTTCATGTTCAGGAGTTTTGCTTATATCCATTTCAGTAGAATTTTCAGGGTCTAAGTTATCGTTCTTAACGCAAGGCTCCTTTCCAATTGGCTCAGTTTCTAAGCCCTGCTGCTGTAATCTTCTTTGTCGCATTTGTTCACGACGATCCATTATTCGCTGGCGTTGCTTCTCAAATTCTTGTTCATATCGTCTGTACATTTCCCTGTCAGGATGATTAGCGTTAGCACGCTTCCATTGTTCGAATTGTTCTTCCCAACGTTGGAACTGCATATCAAAACTCTTTTCATCCAAATCGGGCCGTTGTTGTTTGTTCCCGCTGTCGGTTTCAACGCGACCTTGACGCTGATTTTGTATTTCCGGTTCGCGGTTACTTTTATTTGGCGCATTTCGCAATTTATCTGCGCTTTGGGGTGCAACACCTTCTCCTTGGCCTCCTACGCTGATATTTGGAGCCGATTCTCTTGCGCGCTCATTTGAGTTAGACCTTTGATTTAAATTATTTGGGCCGAAATCTGGTTCATTAGAAAGTGATCTTTGACTTAAATTACTTGCACCAAGGTTTCGTTCATTCGAAACTGACCTTCGATTAAAATTGTTTGGACCGAAATCATTAGGACCCGGCTTTCGATTTAAAGGGTCAATGGGAAAGTTGCGACCGTTTCCGCGATTTGCTTGATTGAAATTATTGTTTGGTGCGAAGTTGTCTCGATTTGCTTGGTTGAAATTGTTTGGTCCGAAATTGTCTCGATTTCCTTGATTAAAATTAGTATTTGGTCCAAAGTTATCTCCACTGCCTGCAGGACCAAAGTTACGGTCATTTGAGCGCGATCTCGAATTAAAGGGATTACGCTGACTTATATTTTTACCAGGACCTTCCGCTTCTGGGTTTAAATCATTGTGTGCGCCGAAATTGGAATCATTGCCGTCCGACCATCTGTTATTTCTATTACCGAAATTGCGGTCTCTTATTCCAGGTCTCATATTGGAATCTTTAATATCAGCGAAATCGTCTTTAGGACCATCATCGTTAAAAGTATTATTTGGGCCCATGTTCCTTTCATTACCACCAAATCTTTGGTTAGGATTTTCATTGGGCCCATAGTCTCGACCATTACCCCCTGGCCTTTGATTGAAGTTTCCCCCAAAGTTTCGCTCATTTTGGCCATATCGTTGATTGAAGTTGTTTGGACCAGACATGAACGTATTCCCATCGAAATTCCGACCACTTCCTCCAGGCCCTTGATTAAAATTATCTCGGTTATTTCTATTATTATTCGACCACTGGTTATCATTATTACCCCAACGATTTCTTCCCATCTGATCATTAGGGCCAGACTGATTTCTCTGGTTGTTAAAGTTTCCCGCGTTTCTGCGACCATTATCGAAACTGTCTTGAACATCTTGTTGCCTATTATTCCAGGCGTTATTCATACCACCTTGATTCCGATTATTACCCCACTGATTTGATAAACCCTGCTGTCCTGGTCTACCTTGAGGGATGTTTTCGGTACGATTTTCGTTGAAACCAGCTCCTGCATTCGAATTTTCACCACCCCATCGATTGTTTGAATTTCTTGGATTTGTTTCAAAGCCGTCCATGCTATTTCGGTTGCTTTCGAAAGGATCGTCCATATTACCATCATTCGACATGTCATTATAATCATTAAGTTTACCCCGATCATCTCTTCGGGAGTCCCAACTGTTAGGTCCGCTTTGATTTCCTGGCCTGGGGTTATCAAAATTGTTTTCAAAGTTATTTTGTCTAGAATTCCATTGATTATTTCCGCCTTGGTTTTTATTAAATTCATTGTTTTGCAGATTTGGATTAGGGCCCCATTGATTCGGATTCGGTTCGATAGGTTCAGAAGAGTTACGTTCAAAATTACGATCGGGAAAAGATTGATTCTTATTGCTGTTGTCGCTATTGTTTTGTTGATTTGAATTACCATAAGGAGGCATAGGTTTTTGTTGCATAGCTTGTGTTGCATTTGAATTTGGTGGTGGTTGAGAATGCGGTTGTTGTTGGTTCATTATTGGAGGTGGTTGCTGGAAATTTGGGTTTTGACCGTAATTCGACGGCTGTTGTGCAAAACTTGGAGGAGGTTGATTATAATTGTATTGTTGCTGTGGTTGTGATTGAGGATAAGGATTTTGCCATTGGGAATAATTCATATTATTGACGAACGGACCACCTGGGGGTGGTTGATGCATTGTAGGTGGAGCTTGATTACCAGCAATAGTTTGAGTTTGCGGTAGTGTCTGGGCTTGTTGTGGATGTGACTGGCCTTGTTGAGAATGGGACTGCACTTGTTGGGGATGTTGCTGTACCTGCTGTGGCGGTGGCGGTTGGTTGTATTGTTGAGTTGTTAACGGAAATTTTGCACTTGCTTGTTGCCCATCAGGGGGAGGCGGTGGTGGTGGTTGATGCTGATTTTGTTGTGAATGTTGCTGAGGTGCTTGTGCCAACATTTGTGGCTGCTGTTGAGCTTGCATTTGTGGCTGTGGCTGTGCCTGCTGATAGTAGTTATTTAACCCCATAGTTTGTCCTGTTTGGGCTGCTGCAGCCATTTCTCTCTTGTACTAATAAAAAAAGTTAAAAATTTATTTTAATACATGTATGCATAAATAAGTCCTTGTTTCATGTTGCCTACAACTTACCTGTTCACCATACTGTGCATGCCACTTAGCATATTCTTGCTGATAAGCTTGCCACTGTTGCCAGTGTTGTTGCAAAGCATATTGCTGCTCTGGAGTCAATGCGGCGTATTGCGCCTCGGTATACTGGCCATATGGCCCAGTTGAAGCTAGTGGAGCGACGGGAGCAGTTACTGGGGCCGTAGCAGGAAGCATTGGCCCTATAATCGGGGTTGCTGTATTGCTAGTTGCTGGTTCTGAAGGTGCTGGTGGAGCAGTTGAGGGTGGGGGTGGGGCGGCCGACGGTGGTGGTGGCTGAGGTGGCGGACATTGAGGTGCCGGTATGGGAGGCATGGGAGCCGCTGCAGCGACACCAGTCCATCCACTCCACATTGTTAATTAAATGCTTAGTCGCCTTTACTTAATTTTACTCGAGTCTTTAATCACAAAAACGTGTTATAAAAGTCCCTCTTTATATGTAACTTTCAGCACTTATTTATTCACTTCTTTTGTTGTCTTATCTATACAAAACAAGCACTAGTTATATTTTATGCAGTTTTGGCTACAATACAATACCAATTTTCACTGAATCAAATAGAATTACAAATCAATTTGTAAAATAGTCGCCATTTTCTTCAAGAAAAAAGTAAAGATGACAGAATAGCCAGAAAGTTTTTGTTATAGATATAAAAATCGATTTTTTCTCGACTTTAACGCACATGTACACTTTCTATAGATTATGGTAACTTGGGTCTTACACGATCAAGACCTAGCTTTCGAGTTGCATTACACGCACATTACAACTTGATATCGCTTTTTCCTTGCAAGTCGTGTTGTCAAACAGCTGACCAGAGTTAGTATGTTCTAATCCTCCAGGAAGTTATAAGGAAAGTATTACTGTAGATATTATGACAGGCTTATTGCCTTACCAATGACAAAACTCAACGGCTGGTATCTACTACTGCGTCTTAAACTATGCGCAGAGCTGTAAAACTGTGAAATCATTTAAAATTTTAATCATAAAATATTTACAAATAGGATTTCATTCATTTTTCTTTGGTCTGGTAGTGTAGCTTATATTTTTTCAATCTACAATCATTCAAAAAAAAATTGATATCACACAGTAAAGTTGTAAATACCGGAATGAAACACTGAGAATGCTGAAGTAAACAGAATTCAATATTGAATTAGCTTCCAGATGAATGAACACTTTGCTATGTGTGCATTCTCTAATTCAGTTCCAATCAAATTTTATACACTAAGAAAAATGTGTAAGTTTAGATGATGGAATAATGAGGTGTATGTACTTTAAAACGATATTGACATAGTGTCGCGTATCAATGCACAGCGGCTACACGGGATAAGCCATGTCCTACGAATGGATGCTTATGCTTGGACTCCTCCACGCATGAAACGCAGCTTGATTCACATGAACATATTGTACAAACTTATAGTTTTGGTTTTTTAAAAACTGAGTGCAAAATGTTCCAAGACAATTAGTATCAATAATTTTTTTCTTTAAAAGATTGGAAAATATGCAGAACAGGAAATAATCATGCACAACAACCATCGAATGATAGCAGCTTTTATCATTCAGTCCATGGTTTATCCACATGCATATAATGTCCTTTTCTAAAATACATATGTGCCCATTTTCGCGCGGCCACCCTTTATGATCAGTTTTTATTTATAAAAAACGATACTCCCATTTCCCAATACCAGGCGCTCAAAAAATTAATTTAAAAGTTCTACGAACAAATTTATACATATAGAAGGCTTGCTACTTCATATGTATGAGCGCCTGGTATTGGGAAATAAAAATATCTCTTTGTACAAATAAAAATTTAGTGAAGAGCTGCAAATTCTTGATAGTGAAATTTTGAAGAAGAAGAATAAATGTCAAAAGCCGCCATTTGTTGAATTGGATTAGCACAAGCAAAAGTAAAATGAGTGGAAATCAAAATATTAATGATGTACTCGACTGTGTAAGGCAAAGAATTTAAAACTGATTTATAAATAGTAAAATGTTTACAGCAGAATATCAAAACGGTGCAACAACTATTCACTTGCAAGTTTTTACTAGTTTTGTGTTCAATAACTTTTTCTGCTAGTTTTCTCTTCTTCTCAATTTTACGCTCTATTTCGCTTTTACGCTCTCGCTGCAATATTTTACTGGAGAAGTTAGTATATAAACCTAATGTTATTAGGCACAATTTTGCCCATGGAGACCATGATGCAATAATACAAGGTGGTATTAATTGTGACAGCTCCATTTGACACTGCCTTAGCTCAGTAGAACGAGAAGAAAAACGGGAAGAAATTAAGCCCCATTTGGGGGAAAAATATAAAATTTCACATTTTTTCCTAAACAAAATTTGCTTTTTTATAGTATATTCGTAATGAAATGAAATAAAATAAGATAAAATATCTTTTTAAGAATAAAATGTGTATACTGAGAAAAAATAAAAAAATATTCGACTATATTATTAGGCAAAGAATTGTTAAAGAAGTAGCACTGTCTAACATAAGGCAGCCAATATGGCGGAATTATAGCGAGAAGTTGCCAACTGATAACACCTGTATTATTGCATCATGCATGGAGACCGTATATTGCTCTTGGCAAGCAATAATTATCAGAGCTTTTATCTTGATAAGTATTGCCAGCAATCTAGTACTTTGACAGCTACATTTTCATCTGCGCGCTAGGTTCGTGGATGTATCATTATTGATATTTCAATATAAAAGCAAAAATTGAGGTGTTTTCTATTGAAATATTTGTTATTATTTGCTTGGGTGTGAAATATCATATTTTTTGAACTTTTTAGACGATGGAAGCCGGCAAAAATAGCCATCTTACAAATGCTTTTATCAAGATAAAAAATGCCCACGCACAAATATTGTTCTGGTAAAAGTTGTATTAGGCAATAAAAATGACAGTTGGTGGGCAAAAACTTTTGCCTGTGGAGACGGCCGTAAGTACGTCACTCCTGATAGTTGTATAACCTTGTGTTTACACATAGGGCTTTCGACCGAGGCGATTTTTTAGGCAACTTTTAGTTGAAAGCAAAAATCGCCTTGTCCGAACGGCCTTTCAATTAATCGCTTTCAACAAAGATACACCTGATCTACATGATTCAAGTACTTGAAAGCAATTCTTGCTCATTCTCTTTTGTGTTTTTTATTTGCTTTTACACGTTTCAATTCTGTTGAATTCAAGACTTTGGTTCTTTAAATGGGTAGCAACGAAAATGCCAAAAGCAAAGCAAGAAAGTTGAAACGACTTGACGGTACAGACGCATGTGTACTCGTCCCTTTTCTTCTCACCCCCTCTCTTCCATGTCCGAGCAGAATTGAATTCAATACTTGAACTGTGTAAAAGCACACTTGGTCGCCAGCCAACTTTGAGTTCGTTCAACTTTTTTTCCTTGCAACCCTGTGTTTGTTTACATTCTGTATACATACTTTTTTACTTTTATTTTATCTTTCAGCTTCGCTAAAAGCACTTCTACCAACGCTTGGCTTACCAAATTTACGCCTATTCATAAAATTTTGCGATTTAAGTTTATTTTCAATAATGTAAATAACAATTCGTGTTGAATCGAAAATCGCCTTGTCTGAATAGAGATGGCAACTTTTCAACTTCTCATTCAATTTTTGTTGCCTGTAAAATCGACGCGTGCGAATGCCCTATAAACCTAGCAAGGCGTATTCATACAAGATGGTGTTGTTAGATCAGGTGTCTGATAAATTCGACGCATTAGTTGTGTTTTTTTACAAATTATCCAGTAACTTGCCAGCAACTCTCCAGTAACTTAATTTCTAAGAATTCGCTCTCATAGAAAAAATTTACAAAAAAGTACGTGAACGCTTTTCCAGTAATAATTTGCAAGTATCATGAACAGCTGATTAATTGGTTGTTTATTCGCAGCATATTCCTAATAAAATAATATATTTTATATTTAAATATGTTTATTTTGTGAATTTCCACAATAAAAAGCAGTTTCCTTATTAGTTTAAATTTCATCCAGCAACATGCGATCAGCTGTTTTTCGTACTGGCAAATTCTTACAAGTAAAAATTTATCCAGTGAAAACTTACACCGCTCTCTCAATTTCCCCTACTTTTGCAAGTTTTTGCGTACGAAAACGCCAAAACATGAAAATTCGTAAAAACTTTTACTGGATTTTACTGGAAATGAGTAAAAAAACGCAACTATTGCAAGGTGGCAGCACATTGTTTTCCACGTGTGGACGTTGACATCTGACACACCATCTTCAAAAGGGGCATAACTAAAAAAAATTCAAGTCGATTATTTTGGCTTGAATCGATTTTTAGGATTTGTCTCCAATTAATGCAAATATTTTTCTTCATGACTATATTCTATAACTCCAAAGCAATTGTTGTGCATATTTTTGTGTTAATTGCATTGAATTTGTACCATCCTCAAGCAGTTATATTTTCGGATCTGATTTTTGAGTTGTGTCTCTTTCGCAGATGGTGTGTGAACTGACAACAATAAATGAAGTATGAAATAGGAAATGTTAATTAACTTGCTACATTAAATTTTGATAATGGCCGAAACGAAAAGAACAATTGAATATTTGGTGGCTGATACTACAGCCTTTATAAACGCGGTTCAGTTAAATGTAAGTAAATATTTTCAGTCTTTCCAGGGAATGACCATTTGTACATTTTAGGATTATGCCAAAAATGTATTAACAGTTCCAGATGTTATTAAAGAGGTGCGCAATAAACGTCAGATCCGACGACTATGTGTTTTACCTTTTGATTTGCAAGTGCGCGAACCTCGGACGGACAGTGTAAAACACTGTGTGGAATTCGCTAAAAAGACTGGCGACTATGCCAGTCTCTCTGGCATAGACATCAAAGTAATTTCCTTAACGTATGAGCTCGAGGTTGACAATGTAGGTACAGAGCATTTACGTACAGAACCAGTTTTGTCCAAGGTAGTGGCCTCAAAAGAGAAGCCTGAAGAATTCCAAGATAACACAAAGCTAGCAGGATGGTACAACCCGCAAGATAAATCAAGTAGTGATGACATAAGCGAGGATGAAGATGACTCAAATGAATACCAAACTGATGGCAATGGGGTTGATGTTGTCAAAAAAGCAATTGAACAACAAATAACTAATCCAAGCGAAAATGATAGCAGTGCCGATTTGATAACACAAGCGGAGTTGGATGAATTAATGGAAAAGTTGAAATGCGATGAGCCAGATGAGGATGCTTGCAACATTCTTGTTCCACAAAATGAAAAATCTAATGATGCAGAAACAGATTCAGATGAAGCAGACATAGATACTGATGAAAAAAAGTCTAGTCTTCAATCTGAACCTGACATAGAGGATGACGACAACAGTTGGATTACACCAGCGAACATCAAAAAGGTGAAGAAATCACTAGAAGGTAAAGTGGAATCAGATGTTGTACCGATTGTTGCCTGTATGTCAACGGATTATGCACTACAAAATGTCTTGAAGCAAATGAATTTGCAAATTTGTGCGTTAGATGGTCGCGTTATTAGACACCTTCGCACATACATTTTGCGGTGTTATGCTTGTTATAAAACAACCAGCATAATGACGAAAGTTTTTTGTCCAAATTGTGGCAACAAAACTCTTAAACGTGTGGCCGTAAGTTTAGATGAGAATGGAAAGCAAGTTGTAAGTAAACGAACTTTTTATTTTAATATAACAAGTTATTCATGCCATAATGTTTTTTTATAGATTCACATAAATACTCGTCGGCCATTAACGGCTAAATATAAGAATCAAAGCTTACCGAAATTCCAGGGAGGTAAACATTCTCGCAATCCTATACTATTTGAGGACCAACCTATACCGAGACAAATGCCATCACGTGTGGCGAAAACTAAAACAAATGCATTGGAGGAAGATTATATAGCTGGATTTTCACCTTTTGTAATGCGTGACGTCGATTCTAAGTCGGCTATGTTGCGATCGAAGGGCAATTTAAAGGAATGGGCACGGAATAATACATTTGAAGAAGATCGACGTAGAAAACACTACAATAGAGTGTACAAATAGATTCGATTTTTGTTTTGATATTTTGAATAAATATACTTTCTTTTTAAATGAGTTAACAATTTATAATTTTACACATGAATCACAATCTAAATACTCAGGCAAGTTTAGCTGGTATTTTTCTTGAAGAGCCGGCGGTACAAAACGTCCTCCCAAATAATGATATTTTCCTTGAAATGAACGTGCACACAACTTTGGAGCTGTTAGCGATATTAACAGTTCTGGTTCGAAATCTGCTTCACTCAATTTGCCGTCCTCTACATCCCAACCGCTAGGTATATCAATGCTGCGCGAGGTAAATATTTTATAATGAACTTGCAACTTTTTAAGATATCTTACCTAGCAATTGGTAGTTTAGTCTTTTGGAGTACCTCAACAATAGGTACAAATGTGTCTCGTACTGGTGGTTTGAAGCTGAAGCCAAAAAGTGCGTCAACAATTAAATCAAAACACGTACTAGTNCTAGTCTTTTGGAGTACCTCAACAATAGGTACAAATGTGTCTCGTACTGGTGGTTTAAAGCTGAAGCCAAAAAGTGCGTCAACAATTAAATCAAAACACGTACTAGTTGTTTCCAGACTAGGGCTTGAATTAAGAAATGGAATAGCATAGCGCTTGCATTGGTGGGTTAGATTCTCGTATAATTCTTTAGGTGTTGGTTTTGGATAGTATATGCTCGGTTTATAATTCATCAACGACAAATGGCGGGCACATACTAATCCATCCCCACCATTATTGCCAGGTCCACAACATACTAGAATGCGTTTATATTGTTCGGCTGGATAGCACTTTGCTATGGCATGAGCACAGCTCAATCCAGCTAGTTCCATAAGCTGGTCCACACTAAATTTATATTCGTTGAATAGTTCTAAATCAACATTAATTGCTTCGGTTTGAGTTAAAAACTTCATTTCTTTCGGATTCTTGCAATTTGAAATAAATTTCCTTTGAATTAAGGAATGAGCCTGTAAAAATGGAAATACATATACGTTAAAACCATGCTATAAATAAATATTTACCGAATCGTATGGAGATACCCAACCCAACAACTAAGTAGATACATTCTCTTGAACAGTTTTGTCTTATTAAGCTGCATAATTAATTGTNTTTATTCTTGCAATTTGAAATCAATTTCCTTTGAATTAAGGAATGAGCCTGTAAAAATGGAAATATACGTTAAAACCATGATACAAATAAATATTTACCGGATCGTATGGAGATACCCAACCCAACAACTAAGTGGATACATTCTCTTGAACAGTTTTGTCTTATTAAGCTGCATAATTAATTGTAGTAAAAGTAAATTAACCAATTAACCTGAGTTTATAAAAAAATCTGACGGAACACAAAGATAAGCTGAGAAATTTCATTTGCTCCAGTCTATTTTCCTTTGGTTATCAATATACATATGTTTTCTTTTATTTTCACCTTTATCGGTTTTGTTTTGATGGCAGTTTGAACACAGGGCTGCATTCTGAAAACACTTTAATATTTTATTGAATATTCTATAATTCCATTTTATTAATTGTTGAACATAGGACTTTATTGTTTAATGTTAATACAACTTTTTACTTAAATACAAAAGATAAATAATTTATTACATGGAAAAGTCCAGGGTGTATTACACTCTGTTGTATACATTTTGGGTAAGTTTATCTACGAGGTACATTCATTTGCAACTCTATGTGCTGAAAGTTGTTGTTCCAAAATGGCGGAAATCTGATAAAAACGAAAAGAATTCAGAAAAGCTGCGATTCACGGCAAAAATATTTCCAGCGGCAATTTTTATTCATTAACTCGTCGAGAAGTAAAAAAAAAACTATTTTTATTAACTCAGATTTATATCCTGCAATTATCTATATCCTGCATATGCAGTAGGCAATACTATGAATCAAGGACTACCAAGAAAGTAGATGTGAATATGCAAAGTTGTGTATTGCAAAAAAGGGAAGGAATTTGTTGCAAGTGTAACATCTAAAAGAAGCTGCATTTGGCTAACTTCGCCTATTAATGAAACGTTTATTGGGCGAAAAGTTTGAAATTTCTCGTCGGATTATGAATCAAGCTTCCAACGCATCTGGTACAACACATACCACCATCACTTTGTTGGATACCAGTAGTGCCTCTTTTTCCATGGGAGGCGGGAGTTCGATACATAGCAACGGAGAAATCAGTATTGGCGACCATGCGGATGTGTCCATTTCAACAACGTCTTCTCTGTCAACAGCTTCCTCTGCGAGGGCGTCGGGTCAAGCCACAAATAAGATCTTTAACTACAAAGACCAAAAGGATATTGAATACGCTAATTCACTAACTTGTGAGGACATTTGCTTTTCAATGTGCCGCCAGCTTAAAATATTACCGACAACTCGCTTATTATTTGGACTACGGGTACTGGATTCGGAAAATGAGTGGGCGATTCCCGGCCTTAGTTTGAGGCCAGGCGTACGTTATTGCTTTCGAATGCGGATCAAAGTTCCGAATATGGATACCCAATTAAAAAACCTGGATAAGGAGGCTTATGAGTATTTGTATTGGCAAATTCGTTATGATATAGTAAACGAAAAAATTCCTGAAATACGCCATCCAGAAAAAAAGGATAATGTGATGGGCTTTGCTGTTATGGATATGTCCATCGATTTGGAAGCTAAAAGTTCAGCATCTGAGCGATTAGAGAAAAATTATAAGCGGGAAATAATTGAGAAAATTGAAAGTAATTATAAGCGTTATCTGCCCCAAACACTATTAAAGGAGCACAAATATTTTGTTAAATCCAAAATCTGTGCGACATTTAAAAATGTACGGGAAAAGAAAATTGGCTTCACAGAATTCAAATTCTACTATATCTCTGAGGTGTGTAAGCTTGCTCCCACCTATTTAATGGAAATGTATGTTGCTACTGTTAATTATATCCCGAATGATGATCTATTAATGGTGCGGACACCGACATCTGGTAGAGGAGATAGTGGAACAAGAGTTTTTGTTAAGTTAGACACTCATGACCATCCGGAGCCGGGTTTGAAAATTTCACGGGAAAAAGTGAAGGTAAGTTAAAATGGAAGCGAATGGAAGATTATATGTGCAAATCATAAATGTTAGCATTTGTTATACATTTCGACCCCTAATGGCAAAAAGTAGTGAAATAAAAAAAAAAATGTATGCAGGAATGATCCTAGACTATATACATATGTATGTATATGCATTTCTGTATCAAAAATAATTTTTTTAAAAAAAATGTCGCTAACATCTTTTTGTCAATTNAATGTGCAAATCATAAATGTTAACATTTGTTATACATTTCGACCCCTAATGGCAAAAAGATGTGAAATAAAAAAAAAATGTATGCAGGAATGATCCTAGACTATATACATATGTATGTATATGCATTTCTGTATCAAAAATAAATTTTTTAAAAAAAATGTCGCTAACATCTTTTTGTCAATTGGGGCTTGATATTAGAGTTGGATTCTTTAGTTCACTTTAAAGATTAGTGTTCACTTCTAGTTGGTTCAGCCCAATGAACTAGCTCTTATGAGTCTTAAAGCATAAACAGACGACAGCGTTGATCCGGATCAACTCGGCAATTAGCTGTANTATATGCATTTCTGTATCAAAAATAATTTTTTTTAAAAAAATGTCGCTAACATCTTTTTGTCAATTGGGGCTTGATATTAGAGTTGGATTCTTTAGTTCACTTTAAAGATTAGTGTTCACTTCTAGTTGGTTCAGCCCAATGAACTAGCTCTTATGAGTCTTAAAGCATAAACAGACGACAGCGTTGATCCGGATCAACTCGGCAATTAGCTGTAGTTGATGCGGCTTACCTCCGAGTTAGTCCGGATCAACGCTGCCGTCTGTTTAAGCTTTTAGTTCTTTCATCTTATTGAACTATAGTTCACCTAATTGAACTAGTTCGGTAGTAGGAGCTAAGGTACAGAACAACAAAAATGTATGTAAAAAACAATTTTTTCCGACTAGTCGATGGTCCACTTCTTTAACGGCACAATTTAGACGTCTTCATTTATTCATCTTTTCCGATATCACGAAAGGATGTTTGGCTTTCATATGGTGATTCAAATTTCCANTAAAACAATTTTTTCCGTCTAGTCGATGGTCCACTTCCTTAACGACACAATTTAGTCGTCTTCATTTATTCATCTTTTCCGATATCACGAAAGGATGTTTGGCTTTCATATGGTGATTCAAATTTCCATGAGAACCTTCAACAATGCTTATGGAAACTTGGCAGTGTCTGCATTTCATTTTCTTTTCTTCAATTTTGCCTTCGAAATGCNAAAAACAATTTTTTCCGACTAGTCGATGGTCCACTTCTTTAACGGCACAATTTAGACGTCTTCATTTATTCATCTTTTCCGATATCACGAAAGGATGTTTGGCTTTCATATGGTGATTCAAATTTCCATGAGAACCACCAACAATGCTTATGGAAACTTGGCAATGTCTGCATTTCATTTTCTTTTCTTCAATTTTGCCTTCGAAATGCGACCAAATTGCGCTTTGCTTTGGGATCTGAAAGCGAAAGTATTTTATTAAACAACAACTCAAATAGTTACTTATTTAAACAAATTGCACTAAACGACGTAAGACATTGGAAATTCAATGAAATAAAATGTCTTATTTTCATTTCCATTTTTAATGAAGTAGTTCAATTAAAAGAGCTGACTCTTTCGCTCTTTAGTTCAAAAGGTCCCCAAGCCTACTCGATATGTATGTATGTTCATATTTAGGTACATGCATATGTACATATGAATATTGGGTATTGCAAGGAAAACTACGTAGCCAGTTTTTGGGTGAAAAGCACTAGCGATGTGTCAACCACATGCAGTACCCAGACTCCTGCTACATTTTTATGTATGTATACCTTACCATCATTAGCACACTTCTCATTTCCTGGCCCACCGTTAGTTCAGTTTGACGACAAGAATTGATAGATGGACGAAACCAGATAGGGATTAGAATATACTGCTGTTGGANCGTGAAAAGCACTAGCGATGTGTCAACCACATGCGGTACCCAGACTCCTGCTACATTTTTATGTATGTATACCTTACCATCATTAGTACACTTCTCATTTCCTGGCCCACCGTTAGTTCAGTTTGACGACAAGGATTGATAGATGGACGAAACCAGATAGGGATTAGAATATACTGCTGTTGGAACAACAATAACCACCTATGATATCGCCGAATATTATCTCGTTAATGTTTCAAAGTCATAAACTTATATACTAATACAAACATTACTGTCTTATTGTAGTGGACCTTATTGACAAAGATCGAGGATATATTTGCAATATGTATCGGAGGGGACGTGTGTGCATTATTGGAGATCACAGGACTACCCCAGGGCTATCGCATGCAATTTGGCTCAAGGACTGAATTAGAGTCCTTTATCACATATATATCGGGCTATTCAAGGTGAAAATGCATCTAAAACCCAGAATTATCTTTTATTGTCAATTTCTTAAATTTTTAATCAAAAAATTTAAATTGTAAATATTACTTAAAGACTAACTGCGAAGTGGATGACTGATTTGTGTGCGAACTTCCAAACTCCCTCCTTACAAAAACTNACAAGGACTGAATTAGAGTCCTTTATCACATATATATCGGGCTATTCAAGGTGAAAATGCATCTAAAACCCAGAATTATCTTCTATTGTCAATTTCTTAAATTTTTAATCAAAAAATTTAAATTGCAAATGTTACTTAAAGACTAACTGCGAAATGGATGACTGATTTGTGTGCGAACTTCCAAACTCCCTCCTTACAAAAACTGAAGGACCTCAAATGCCATGGACCAATTGGGTATTTCATCCGGATCTGTAAAATTTGCAATTTATTGTAAGTAATATTTTGTTTTTACATTTTGTAGTGGTGCATTTTCCTTCGCCAAATTACGAGAACTATCTCTAAATGGTGCCACCTGCCTAATCCGTCAATGCGAAAAAGAATACGATGTATATTATATTGACAAAGCGAAGACGTGAGTAAAATACTTTTAAAATTTAATAAGAACATTTAATAGGAATTTTAAATTACATGCATACAGTAAACTGGAAAAAAGTTTGGCGGTGGATGTACTCACTACTAAAATAACCAGAGAAAATAACAAATGGCTTCTACATTCAAACGATGGCGTAAAAGCATTTGATGATTTAAAGGATTTAAGGAACTCTATTTCAACAAAAATTCTATGGCCATCAGAATACGGTAATTAACAAAGTTATATTAAATACTTTATGCAGTTTAAACGGTTTTTGTATGCCATTGATTACATAGAAAAGGCACCACTTCTGCTAATTTGTTTGCCAAAAAATTTACAACCAAAGAAGACTGACACGGAATTAAGTGATGCTGAACTCCGAAA